GCTCAAGCTTAGGTCACGGACGAAACAAACCACTGCTGTTTTTGAAAACTTTTCGAGCCATGTCTTCATCCTTTTCTAATTAGGCTCAGTAGAGACCGTGTTTTCTCCGCGGAGCTATCCCTCGGCAACTGGTCATCCGCGCTCTGAGCCGAAGCGTTTTGGGGGAAGAAATACAGGGTCATCAACAAATGGTCTTCTCCCCCCCCCCCACCCCTGCCTCTTCAACAACGCCAGTGTCAAGGAAGCTTTCCCTACCCATGTTTGAACAACAATTTGAGCCAAAATCTCCCTTGTAAGACGTGAAACTACATTTGCTTTAACAGAACAGAGTTACTCTCATAAAGACCACCAGCGGTTCTCACAAAAACGCTGCAGCCAAAATCGTTGTCAAAGCGTAGAAATCATTTACTACTACCTGCTACCGTCAGGTGAATTCGCATATGTTTAGATGAAACTCAATTCAAACCTGTGAGATTCATCAGGTACTTTCCTATGTCCGTCACGAATCAGTTTATGGAGAAGATGGCAGAACTAAAATAAGCAAACGATGTGACAACAAACTCCAAAAAAATTATTCCCAGATATTTCTAGAAGTCAACATCATTACCTTCCATGTCATAACAGGATTTTTCTCCAATTGAATTCGATTGACAGCATTCCAAAACACTGCTGCGGACCTAGAACGAACTCATGCCTTGGTGGGTACCATCGAGAATTTTTCACAAATTATTTTTTACCTCTCCTGGTGAGTCCCAACAATGAGGCGACGTGCGTGTTTTGGTTTGAGGGGCACTTCATATTTGGTGAGTGCTTTATGAACTGCTTCGAGCTATAAAAATTAGCTCACAAATCGATCGAGAAATTTCCGTACTAAAGAAGCCCACCTGCCCTTTAACGAATGCCTCACGGTCCATGCAGATAAAGGGTCGATCAATTAGATAAGACTAGCAGAACAGAACCGTGCCTGAATTTCAAGCGTTTGACCATCTAGAGAAAGAGGAGCATAAAAACCGTTACAAGGGCTCACTTTCTGGGAACTTCGACAGACAGAGAGCTATCCTGGATTATTCCGACCGACTGAGCGAGTGAAGCCAATCGGTGACAACTTGCGAAGAACCTGCCAAGAAATCCGAAGCCACCACCACCCCAAGTGCAAGGATCAGCGACGGAACCGGCTGATTCATCATATGTTCTACCTCTCATTCGCCTCGTGACCCACCGTAATTGCACACTTCAGTCCCTTTATAGATTTTGCACTGGGGCGCAAAATGGGATTAGGTCACCGCCTTCTTCAACACGATGAATGTAGGAGGCGCAAGTCGGTTAAAGTTTCATGCATTCCATTAATGTGTGTAGCGCTAAACTAGTTGGGAGAACAACTCGGTCGTCGAATCTTTCCCCGAAAAACCTCAGGCTTAAAACGCAGACGATCAGAGTCGACGGGTGTAGACCAGCAGAAAAGACAACATACAACATTAAGCCTAAGCCTTGATCAGAGAAAGCGAAATGAACGTGTTGGCGAGCGATCTCGCCCCCCCCCCACCCTCCGCCCACCACGTAACCATTTCCATCAAGTAAACGAGCTATTTTGTCGAGCTTGCCAAACATTATTGAGCCGCAGAGCGGCACAAGCTTCATTTCCACGCTGTTGGAGGGCATTCAGCGGGGGGGGGGGGGGGTGGGGCGCAGAAACTATTGCGAGCCAGGGGATGGGGAATTTCGGCCTAACTCAGCTGATCGAAAAAGTTCCAAAGCAGTTAAACCATTTTTTTGTGCAAAAAGGGTCGTCACAATAATTCCTTCCATCATCTTCCCCCCCCCCATCTTTCTGGCTCGCTTTATTTTCAGATAATATGGCCTCAAACAAAGTAGGGGTTCATTATGGCTAGGAAAGTCGAGTTTTTTCTCCCAATATTCTTCTACAAACTTTGATATATAGCTTGGCACGTTCCCAAGAGTTACAGGATCTCTCACCCTCCTCCGCCCTTTAGCCAGCAAGCAGCAGTCATTAAAGTTTAGTAATTCAGAACCAAAAATACCACTTATCTGGAGAAATATCTCTGGCAGTCAGGTTTCAGAAGTTTCCAGGAATTGATAGCAGAAGGCCGAAATTATTCTATTCCCATAATGAGCTAGATTGAGTGATTTGACCTCCCGAGCTGGGTCGAGGGTAAGTGCGAGTTAATCGGGAATCGACGACGTTCCCGTGTTAATAGCTCGTGAGGGAGGAGATGGCGGGGGGGGGGGGGCTGAGTTTCTGGAATGCTGGCTGTCGCTTCATCAAGAACTATAGGTGTGGGATTACAGCATAGCGATAGAGTGCGAAGTTAAGTACGGTAGAGCTTTACTAGGAATCCCTGATGTATTCTGGGCTAGGGGGGAACAGTGAAGAAGACCTTGAGAATGGTCTCCGTTCCCGAAGATTTTTAGAAAAAAAAGACTTTACCTGTAAAAAGGTAGTCGCGAGCGCTGCATTTACTGTCACTGATGTGTAAATCAGTATTGATTGTTTAGCCCCACAATCTTGTTTGTCTGATTACGTAACAGTAAAGCAACGGTCACGGTGACGTTTGCCCCAGCTAGGCTATGGTAACTAAATAAAAACAAAGTATTTCACAAACACAGATTAGCTTCTGAACAAAATATCAAAACTATTACTGGACGGGCTCTTGTAAAAAATTACGTTTGAATGGTTAAGAAACCCTATCAGTTTGATTTGTTTGGCTTCATGCACTTCCATAGCGGCAGTCACCTGATATGGTCGAGCGTTGTAATGTAAGAGTTGGTGAGTTCGACGTCTATAACTTCACAGGGATACGCCATAAATTCGATTTCAGTTCGAAGTTTCAGAGGCATTTGAATGCATTCTTGGACTACAAACAGACTTTCAGGCAATGGGACTCAAAGTTTCAATCTCCCGAAAAAATGATAAGAAGAGAAAAAGAAGAAAAAATGTCTAGAGCTTGTACATAGCCTTGCTAATCATTATTACTCTTCAGAAATGCGGAAGTAAAGTACAGCTCTTGAGATTCTTCGAACAATTTTTGGAAACTAGGTGAGAGCACATCATTGTTTAGGTATTTGAGTCGAGTCCGTACGACTCTACACTCTAGAGGTGGCTTAACACGACCCCCCCCCCTACGTTCCCTCCTCTGATACGATCGAGCTCTCGAGCGAGGGAGGGGATGAACAGCACAGGTGAAAGAGGAAAACAGCGAAAAATT